CTGACTCTAACCTGGCTCTATCCTTCTTGTAACAAGGGGCCCAAACTGAACACAATACTCCAGTTGCGGGCACAGCAGAGTCGTATAGAGTGGTAGTGTTACCTCTTAACCACCACATCACACTGCTGACTCATGTTTAGCCTGCAGTCAACCAGCACCCGGAGGTCCCTTTCACTATTAGGCAATAGGTACTTTCTAATTGGTAACCCTTTTTTAAAAAATAAGAGCCTAACCCTCCATAAGGGTCACCACACCAGGCAGGGAAGCTAAAGCCATTGAGGTTGCACCCCTTGGTACCCAGGAATATCATCACACAAGGAAGGAGACCAACCAATGCAGAGAAGAGACAATAGCATCTCCTCCGGAAAGAACATTCAGCTCTAGATGATCCTTGCCATGGCAGGAGGACAGGAGGAGGATGCTCTAGCTCCATCTATTGGCCAGCAGAACAAGAGCCTCCTTCAGGCAAGAACACCAGCCAGGGAAGGTCAGCCTGGTCCTTCCCTTGAAGCCTCCTTAGAAGTCATCACCTTGATCTGGCCTTGGAGAACTGACTTCTTTTCGTTTGCTTTTGCATTCACCATCTTTCTCTTGTGTGCCCTTTCAGTTTCTAAGGTTGACAGTGAGCTGTTTCGAGGTCAGCGCAGGATGAAAACGTAGACAATAAATAAGGAGCTCTGATTGTCCAGAGCGTGAATAGGTCCTGCAAATTCCCTGGCTAGCCAACTGAGACTCAAGTTATTCACAATGGTCTTTCCAAAACCTTCCATTGGCACAGTTGGCACAGTAAAACAACAGGCTTTGGCTTTTTGAGATGTTCTCCGTTTTCCACTTGTTTTCAGTTGGTACCCTTTTTTTTTCCAGAAAAGGATCTCCAAACTGCATGGGTAGCATTGTGAAAAGGCTTTTACTGCAAATAGGTGCCCATTTTAAAAGGAGAGAACAATTAAAGCAACTTCTGTACCAGCTGAACTCGGTTTCTTCCTGATTAAAGTAGCTGATAATTGCTGCAGATAAAACTGCTTGTGGACAAACAGTGCCTCCTGCCATATTTGTGTTCTTGGGTACGTGCTGCATTTAACATGGTTTTCTCTTACCACAGCTCTGAATCAACAGTTTCCATGTAGGCCACTAGACGTTTTTCCTCCCTCTACTTTCACTGAGGTTTCCTATCTCCTTGCCAGAACGCCTGCATAGCCACCTGTCTTTAACCTAGGACTGCTAGTTTTCCAGAGGCCTACAAACTCAAACAGTGTGGAAGAAACTGCAGAATGAACATATTCAGAAACATAGAAACAGAGCGAGTCAGAAGGGGTCTCCTGGGCCATCTAGTCTGACCCCCGGCTCCTGCTGGCTGCACTCATGACATGCCTACCATGTGCATGTCCAGCTTATCATTTAACACCCTCACCAATGGGGCCTCAACCACCTCCCGTGGAAGCCCATTCCATGCCCCCAGGGTCCTGTCAGGAAGTGCTTCCTGGCATCCACCTTGAATCTTGGTTCCCTGAGCTTTGCTCCATTGGAACACGTCCTGCCTTCCACTGCAGGGGGGAAAAGGTCATGACTCACCTGTGTGGCACCCCCTCCCATATCTGTATGTCGCTAACAGGTCCCCTCGGAGTCTCCTCCTCTCAAGGCTGAAAAGACCCAGCTCCCTCAGTCTCTCCTCATACGGCTTTCCCTGCAAACCAGCCACCATCCTAGCGGCCCTTCGCTGCACTGATTCCAACCTTGCTATATTCCTTTTGAAGTAAGGGGCCCAGAACTGAACACAATGCTCCAGCTGCCGGCGCACCAGAGTCATATAGAGTGGTAGTAATATCTCTCTCAATCTAGAAGCCACGCTTCTGGCTATGCAACCAAGGGTGGCATTCGCCCTCTTGACTGCCGCATCACACTGCTGGCTCATGTTCAGCCTGCAGTAAACCAGCACCCCAAGAACCCTTTCACAAGTGCTGCTCTCCAGCCACTTGTCCCCTAACCTGTACTTTTGACACCCATTCCTATGCCCCAAGTGCAAGACCTTGCACTTACCTGCATTGAATGCAATTTTTTTATCCATGACCCACTTCCATAGTCTGTCCAGATCCTTTTGGATCTGGAGTATCTGCTTCTCAGTTGTAGCCCGTCCCCATTTTAGTATCATCTGCAAATTTGACCCGCAGACTTGTCACCGCCTTCTCCAGGTCATTGATGAAAAGATTGAACAGGATCGGTCCCAGGAGCAAGCCCTGGGAGACCCCGCTTGTCACCGTCTGCCATCCCGATGATTCCCTCGTTACCTTACTGTGCAATGTAATCTATTTTGAAAACCTCTCTTAAAAATGTGGAATATCTATTTTAAATGAACTGGCACAGAGCCCATATGTGCGATGCACAGAGACCACAAAGAATTTATGATACAAACATGGTGAATGCAACACCCAAGTCCATGGCGAAGATAGTCAGGGGGACTCCAGGGATACCTGAAGTATGGAAGGGAAATGGGAAGAGGATGCTATACCCCCTGGATTAAAGGGGGGAATTGTTCAGCTAGAATTCCTCAGTTCAGTAGAATTACCAACCAGTCTCAAAAACCCAGCTCCTGGGTTAGGTGCTTGACAATGTAGTTTTGGACCTCAAAATACCCTGGTCACCTTGCTTTATGACCTGAAAGGCTAAAATCCTATAACCATTTAGTCCTACTGAAGTCATTGGAACTAATTTCTAAGTGTCTATGTAAAGGATTGTGCCAGGGATGTTGGTTATAGAAAAGACACTATATGGGGATATTTTGAAGCCAATTTCCACTACAGGAAAACAGGAAAAAATAATATTCTATTTAGCTGTAAGTTAACATGTTTACCAGGCACAGTCACTCCATTCTTTTCGGCATCAAGTGATGACCTTTGTATTTCCCCGGTATTTTAACAATTGGTTTTATCCCTATTTTTAGATGCAGTGTGCTGTGCGTTGTTTTGTTCTTTGTAAGCTGTCCAGAAACTTTTTAGTAATGGGACGGCATAGGGAAACTTTAAATAAACAAACATGTCACAGAGGTCAGATTTGAACCACTGGTCAGGAAACACATAAAAAGTGCACCCCTTTTCTTGACAAAAGTGTCCTGAGCAAAGTGCTTAAAGAACAGAAGGCAGAGGGTGGGAATAATGGCAAGACAGCCAATGTGGTTAAGAGTGAGGGACAAGAACTTAGGGCATTTGAGTTCTAGTCCCCCCTCAGCCATGGAGCCAATTGGGTGACTTTAAGTCAGTCACAATTATGTAAGCCACTCTGAGTTTGTTTTAAGAAAAATGGATATAAATAAAATATTAAAGGATATGAATAAAATAAACTTCTCCCAATGGACTCCCAGAGGATTTTGTATTAGGACCAACACTTTCCAACCTATTAATAAATGACCTAGAATTAGGAATCAGTAATGAAGCAGCCAAGTTTGCTGATGATACTAAACTTTTTAAGGTTAAAACCTCTGCTCTAGGGTTGTGAGAAGTTCCAAAGGGATCTCTCCAAGCTGGGAAAATGGACCTCAAGATGGAAAACACAGTTCAATATAGACAAGTGTAAAGTAACCCATGTTGGGGCACAAAATTCCACCTTCAAGTATATACTGATGGCATCTGAACTAGCAATGACTGAGCCAGAAAGGAATCTAGGGGCAGTGGTGGACAACTCGATGAAAACGTTGGCCCAGTGCCCAGCTGCTGTGAAGAGGGCAGACTCCACACTAGGCATAATTAAGAATGGAACAGAAAACAGAACTGCCAAAAACTTACTTCCCTTATATGAATCTTAGGTGTGACCACACTGGAAATATTGTGTTCAGTTCTTGTTGTCTTACCTGAAAAAGGGCACTACTGAGTTAGGAAAAGTACGAAGATGGGCAAAAAATGACCAAGAGGCTGGAGCAACTGCCCCATGAGTAGTAGCTACAACAATTGCTTAGAAAAACAGTAAGGGGAGCCATGACAGAGGTGTTTAAATAATTCAGGGAGTGGAGAAAGTAGAGACACCTCGGTAACACCTGAATGTGGCCCGTCCCATGAAGCTGATTGGAGGGAAGTTTTGGACAGATAAAAGGAAGAATTCTTCTCACAGCATATAAATTATGAAATTCACTGCCATGGGAAACAGTGATGGCTGCCAATCTGGATGGCTTTGAAAAGGGATTGGAAAGACTTATGGAGGAAGCTATCAGTGGCTACTAGACTTGCTGACCGGGTGCTACCTTCCTAACTCCTTAGCCTCCATGCACTAGTTGCTGAAGAGCTGGGCGGGAGGAGGCGGCCTTGCACCCATCCTGCTTGAGGGATCCTGTGGGCAACCAGTCTGCCACCATGCATATGGAGTGCTGGACTAGACGGACCTTTGGGCCGATCGAGCAGGGCTTTACTCAATTTGTTATGCAGACAGGCAAAAGCAGGCCTCAGCATGATTCATATCCCAGCATCTCTGGTCTCCTCCACTTTCTGCCCACTGGAACACCCTTTCCCCCTTTTCTGAGGTTGCTTTCCCAACCTTGAGAAGCAGTTGGCACGGTTCTTTGCTGGCTGCTAAAGGGAGTATGTGGCTGGGGTCAGAGCTCTGAGGTCAGAGCAAACTTGGACCTGCAACTCTGAAATATCCTGTGGTCCATCAAGTCCTGTCTAGGAAACATAGGACAGCTCCCTGCATCAGGTATTTCAGCTGCGTGGTTTAAAAGCAATCTACCTTGATGCATTTTAATTGGAACGCCGTATACTTGGTTTGGATCTGTGTCAGTGTGTTGCAGAAATCTACCAGGAGAACTGAAGTGTTTGGACCAGTAATGAGCTCCAGTCTACACATTAAAATCCTTCCAAATTAAAACGTTGTAATTACTGTAAGACACGTTGGGTGGCAACTTCTCTCCCCACTTAGCCATGACCAACTGCCTGCCGAAATGGCAAATGTTGAGTAAAACAAAAGCAAAGCTTGTATCGGAAGCAGAACCTATTTCCATATCAATAAAGGAAAAAGGCTAGAGTTTTTAAATTTTTTCTTTGAAAATGTTTTTTTACAGTACATACAAAAATACTCTAAATATACATAATTTGTTTTTACAAAAACACAATACATAATTTAGAAATGTCAAGAACAAATCTTGTCTTAGAGGGGAAAGCAAGTTTTTGGAAGACATTTTTTCAACATGACTGAAGCGGTCTTAACTAAGTTCAATATTATCCAATATGAACTATTCAAAATAGCATATTGTCCAGAATGCAATATCACTAGAGATTCCAGCCCTACACTTCTACCCACAGTTCCTAGGAAGACCATGGACAGGCAGGGCAGGTCAAAAGCTTTTATGCATCCTGGACAAACTATGAAAAAATATTCTGAAATATTTCAGTGGATAATAGAAGGAATTTAGTTTGTGATTTAAGGCCATATGCAAAGACTATACCCGTTCCAACATTCAAGTGACACAGTAACCATCATCCTTGGCATTCTACCATTGTGAAAGATTCTTCTCTGTTTGAGTTTTTGTTTTAAAAACCCAGAGTCCAATCCTACTAAAATTTAAGGATGTTTAACTCCCATTGATCTCAAATTTCAGTCAGTGGGGTGGGAGGAGGAGAGAAAACAGACGGCTAATGCTGCTATTTATTTATATGCAAGGAGATTTACTGTGCTTAAATAATGGCTGAATCATGAACTAGGTTTGTTTTTTGTGGACCTCCATGGGAGGCAGCTTTAATGGGAAATTTAGACAGTGCATATATAGAGAGAGAGTTAGGTGCCAAATTCTGTAACAGGACTGCCGTCCAAATAAGCACAGAGATATTCCTTGCGTAATTCATTCTAGCTGATGTTCACAAGAACCACTTAACGAAGTCCATCTATAATCAACAGCTTAGCAGACTTAGAAGACTGGTGTGGATTTCCTGATTAGAACAATTGTGTTAAGAATGCATATCAGAGGGAGATGCAGACGGCAGGGCACTGATGGAATCCCACAGAATTAAGTGGAAGCACACCAGGGTCCAGCAGTCTGCATGCCCCCCCCCCCACAAACTTTTTTCCTAAAACACGAGACTTTTTTTTTGTATTTTTCATAACAAAAGGGTTTTTCACTCAAGACAAGTAATGTAAACACGTAAGACTTAAAATAAAGCTATGCATCCACACAGTGAAAATAGAGTTGAATCCAAGGGAACAAACATCTAGATTAGAGGTGTACCCAGAGGCCATGGTTCTTGGGAACAGTGGCTTGATTTCTTTCTTTTTTTCTTTTTTAACAACAGTTAAGATAGAGCAGCACCTGCAGAATAAAGTTTACAAAAGATTAGAACAAAAACAGGCACGCCACACATCAGGCCCAAAATGGATCCATTTGGGATCAGTGCTGACCCTACACCAACTTGAAAGAGTGATCAATGTGGCCAGGCAGAGACATAGAAACATAGAAAGAGAGCAAGTCAGAAGGAGCCTCCCAGGCCATCTAGTCTGACCTCCAGCACCAGCCAGCTCCGCTCACAACATGCCCACCATGTGCACATCTAGCCTATCCTTGAACACGCACACCAATGGGGCCTCAACCACCTCCCTGGAAGCCCATTCCACACCCTTGGGGTCCTGACTGTCAGGAAGTGCTTCCTGGCATCCAAATGGAACCTTGGCTCCCTGAGCTTTGCTCCCTTGGAGCACGTCCTGCCTTCCTCTGCAGGGGAGAACAGGTCTCTCCCCACCTCCATGTGACTCCCCTCACATACCTGCAGGTCGCCAACAGATCCCCTCTGAGTCTCCTCTTCTCCAGGCTGAAGAGACCCAGTTCCCTCAGTCTCGCCTCATACGGCATCCCCTGCAAACCGACCACCAACCTTGTGGCCCTGCGCTGCACTGACTCCAACCTGGCCATATCCTTCCTGTAATGAGGGGCCCAGGACTGAGCACAATACGCCAGTTGCGGGCGCACCAGAGTCGTATAGAGTGGTAGTAATACCTCTCTTGATCTAGAAGCCACACTTCTGGCTATGCAACCAAGGGTGGCGTTCGCCCTCTTGACCACCGCATCACACGGCTGACTCATGTTCAGCCTGAAGTAAACCAGCACCCCAAGGTCCCTTTCACAAGTGCTGCTCTCCAGCCACTTGTCCCCTAACCTGTACTTATGACAGCTATTCCTATGCCCCAAGTGCAAGACCTTGCACTTATCTCACTGAACGCCATCCTGTTCTCTCCTGCCCACTCCCATAGTCTGTCCAGATCCTTTTGGATCCAGAGTACCTGCTCCTCAGTTGTGGCCACTGCTCCAGTTTTAGTGTCATCTGCGAATTTGATCAGCACACTGGTCACCCCTTCTTCCACATCACTGACGAAAAGATTAAACAGGATCGGCCCCAGGACAGAGCCCTGGGGGACCCCGCTTGTCACTGGCTGCCATCCCGATGATTCCCCACTAATGGTTATCCTCTGCTTTCTGTCAGTCAACCATGCCCTAATCCATCGGGCAGTGCTTTGGTGTATCCCAAAACTCCTCAGTTTCTCCACCAGGACATCATGGGGCACTTTGTCAAAGGCCTTGCTGAAATCCAGGTAATCCACATCCACTGCATCCCCTGACATTTCCCAGCCTGCCCACCCGAGAGCCTCACGGGCAGCCATGCTACAGTTCCTGGGCAAGCATCCCAGGGACCACAGAGCAGCCTGAATTGCCCTTTCTGAGGCCACATAACAGCACTCTAAGCTTGTAAGAGGGAGCTGAGATGCAAGGGCAGACAGAATCGCGCTGAATCGCAGACAGAAAACTGACCCTAAAGAGGGGAAAGGGGGTAATTCCCATAGGCAGGAAGGAGAGAGGAAGAGACCAGAAAGGCCAGGACACGACTGATCCTCCAGCTTCCTCCTCTGAAGCCTTAAGTATCTGCAGAATATTTGAGAAGCAAGGAGAGCAACGGATTTCATCCCAGAAGTAGCATCTGTTCCCCTAGTAAAGAAACAGCTGGACACAAGCCATGTTATTTTTAAAAATGGGCTGCTTGATTGCGGGTTGCAGCCCAAATAATATGCTTAAAGAACAGTGAATTATGCAACATGCAATAGCCATTAGAAAACAAAACAGTGATATTTGCAACTTTACCTGAAGGAGCACTGCTATCGGTTAAGAGTCAGTCTGATAGAATTTTTGACAACACGAATACCACTTGCTGGGATTGGAGATGATGAATCTGGCAATTCCTTACTGGAAAGTCGCTGCAGAATAAGAACTTCAATCAGATATATAAAGCAAAATAACTAGGAGTTTGGGTACAAGAACAGAACTTGCACCCTGCGTTGGCTCTACTCCTAAAATGGTCTTACATCTCCTTATATTTAGTAGATGGTTTCTCTTACTGAGAGAAAAAAACTGATTTGTGGATTTAAGCTTATAAAATCAATTTACAAGCCTATGGGGGAGGGACGCTAAAAGACGAGCATGTTTTTTTTAGTGAAAGTGCACTTCTGCCCATTTGAATTTTTTTTTGTAAGGGAAAAGAAATGGAGAAGTAAGGTATCAAAGACCTTTAAAACTAGGAGCTCTATTTCAGTGTATCGTTTTTGTTTTTATAAAGACGGATTCAAATACTACCTGTGATCTTAATGTGGTAAAAGTTGGAACAGGCATGGCTTCTTCAAGGCAATGCTAAAAGGAAGAAAAACAAAGAAATCATACAAGATGCTAATTAGCTCTTAAATACAGGACACAGTCTATTACCAAATGAAGCATTACTTTTATCACTTTCAAGATCTTGCAGTCCCATCCTATGGATGTGTATTCTAATGTCATTGCATGGGGAACACAGGTTCAGAAGATGCAGGCTTCTAGCATCAGTGATGTACATGGAAACACGGGGCTTCTCTCCATGGGATGCTTGACTAAGGTTGCCTCTTCTGTTTTCTTTGCAGAAGGATTATAGCCTCCTTAACACAAAGTTTATTTCCCCTGGGATTGTCTTCCCATCTGTTCCATTGCACTCATAAGTTCCATGCACTCAAAATAGAGCTGCCAGGATGCTGTCGGGGACTGGGTGTTATTCTCATATAACCCCAGTCCTCTATCAGCTCCATTGGCTTCCCATTGAAGCCCGGGCTCAATTCAAGGTGCTGGTTATTACCTATAAAGCCCTAAACGGCTTGGGACCAGGATACCTTAAGGAATGACTTTTTCCCTATTTGCTCTCCCGCTCCGAAATCAGCAGCAGAAGCCCTCCTCCAGGAACCACCTGGGAAAGAAGTTAGGAGACAGAGTACCCGGAGGAGGGCTTTTTCTGTGGTGGTGCCGACTATGGAATGCGCTCCCCAGAGAGGCCCGCCTGGCGCCGTCATTATATTTTCTGCGCCAGGTTAAGACCTTTTTATTTAATCAATATTTTAATATGTTTTAATATTGAATTTTAATATTGTATTTGCAGACAGAGTGGGTCGTTAATTTATGTTGTTAGCTGTCCAGAGATGCTGGCAATTGGATGGCATACAAATTTAATGAATGAATGAATGAATGAATGAATGAATGAATGAATGAGGTGGTACTACAGTATAAAGCAGAATTTTGAAATACATTATGCTTCCATAACCAGTAGTGGTACCACCCAGCAAAATACCAGACTTCCTTTTCTCTAAAAAAAAAGTGCAAAAATGGCTGGAACACCAGGGAGAAGCCCTGGATTATGCTGAGGCTGTCAAGAGGCCCTGCAAGCTTCTGTAAGTGAGGGATCATGAGCACACAATAAATGTTTCATGTAGGAGTTTATGGTGATGGTAGACAGGCCTGGAGCGATGCAGGACAGTCTTTGCCATCTTGCTTTTTCATCGTTGAGACTCACTGCCAATGTGTTAGAAAAATTTCCCTTGTCACTATGCAACACGCCCTTCTCATTATTGCTGTCATGGGATTCAGCCTCTATGGGCTTTTGTTTCAAGTCCACTCAGATGCTTGATAAAAGTGGTATTTCAATAGGGATCAAAGTCCGACAAGCATAGCCTTTCCTAATGTGGCACCCTCCAGGTATGCTGGGCTGAAAGTGCACGGATGCTTACCTAGTGAGAGAGACCGACATGTCTCAGGGGTGATGGGTTGAGGATGGGTAGATCTGGATTAAGGTCTTTTTTCCCCAGGGAAATGTGTTTAAAATAGGCAACAGACCACACTCAAAATGCCCATGGAGCCTACAGACAAAGAGCCTGCTCCCTGTGGAAGAACTGCCATGACAGCCTCCATGGTTACAAAAGGCTGAAAAGGCTTAAGTTCTACCTCCACCCCAAGTCAGGATCATTCAGCTCAACCCTCTGCAAGTGTGCTCAGAAGTGCAACGCATACAGCCTGAGGCTGCAGCCCTGGGCAGAGCTGGCTGGTTGGTTGCACAGCTTGATACCTGACTTTGTTCTAGCGTTTTTGCACGTTGCAGAACACATACCTTTTCTACATCTTTCAGCCGTTTAAAACATTCTTCCGAAGCAGGGGAATGGCCTCTCTTGTGTGCAGGACTATTTTTAATGATCCCAGAAGCAAGTCCATCCTGCTGCTGCTGCTGGGAATGGGCAAGGACAGGAGCAACAGACGAAGCGGTCGCATTCTGCCCCAGGGCCATGGAGACACTGCAAGCATTTGGAAGGGGTGCTACCACCAGCGAGGAATCCAACCCTGCAAAAAGCAGGGCCCTTACGTTTTACTCGCAGACTTTCAAGAGAGAATTCTCACTCATTTTCTATTTTTATACATACGTGGGCCAACTGGAATGCACAGCCCTTGAACAGGTACCAGAGGTGGAATGATCTTTATTGGCTTTTCTCTGCTTGCAGGCATGATTCTAGGAAGGCCAGCATGCCTGCAAAAAAGCAAGATTTTATGGTGGCCTGACTGACTGAGCTCAGACATGGTAACGTAAGCCACACTCACAATAAGCCTTGAGCCATGGGTGGCTGTTGAAACATGGATTTCCATGCTATCAGAACCCAGCTGAAGTAACAAACCATGGTGAGCAACCCATAGTTCACAAACCAACTACAAACATGGGTTGTTGGCGGTTAACATGACATGGCTTGTAAGTGCTGCTGGGTTTAGACATCATATGCCAACAACAACCCACATTCAACTCAAAGTCAACCTCGCAGTTACTCTATTGTCTGAACCCAGTAACTATGTAAGCATCAAGAACTGATGCAATAATACAACGAATCACCCACCAGGGGACATGGTTTGGCATCTGGGCAAACTCAGGCACCAGTGAGCAGGTGTGGGAGGCTGCAGCGGTCTACATGAATTCATACCTCTGTCATGTCCTACCTGGGGGCGGATTCCTTGGATGAGGAGAGCTGGTGCAGTGGCCCAGGGGCACAGCCAGACACAGAGACAGTGGCTGTGGCTGTCTGCACGCCGTTGGGACAGTACATGGGGTTACTCAGGAGCCAGGGGCAGAAGCAATTCATCCTTGGGAGGAGGCGGTGGCACGACTGCACCAGAGCGCGCGCTCCACGAAAAAAGCATGCCGACTTAATCAGCCAGCTGCATGGCTTCCCTGTCTGCTCTCGTGGCAAGCGACAAACCCCGATAGCTGAATTCCGTGTTTTCCCTGAATATTAAGCGGCATCTGGATTTATTGGCTCATTTCCTGGACATGCTTTGTACACTCCCACCTGGCTTGGCACGTCGGGCCCAGGCACACCCACGGCCCCGACTCTCTGACTGCACAGACAATTCTGGAGCTAAGCTGGCGAAGGTTAACTTAGACTGGGCATCTGTGGGCACTGGACAGGACAACCTCTCCATCTGACTGCTACTCAGGACCATCTGACATCTTCTGAAGCCAGGCAGAGTGCATCCCACAAGCCAACAGTTTCCCTACTGGACGGACAGAACCCGTCCAGGTTGCCATGCTGAGGCCTCCGAGGCTGTTGGTTCTGAGAGACAGGAAACTCTTCCCTGAAGGGGTGGCTCGGGAGTTCGTGGATTCCGTGACAACCATGGGATTGTCTCAACACAGGGAAGGAGAATACACTCTAGGTTTGTCTTTGCTTTTCAGATGTGATTGGGGAGAGCGATCTGAAGGGCGAAGGCTTTGGACTGGTCCCTCTGCCATGCTCAGATCTGCTGCTGAGATTCCTTCCTTCCCTCTGCGAGGGTGAGGGGCTTATTAGATGGCCTGCTCCCAGAGGCTACGGGATCTGGAGGGTTTATTTATTTAATTTATTTTCTGATTTATAGCCTGCCTTTTTCCTACAAAGGGCTCAAGGCAGCTTACATTTCCTCCTCCATCTTATCCCCACAACAACCATGTAAGGTAGGTAGGGCTGAGAGTCTGTGACTGGCCCAAAGTCACCCAGTTGGCTCCATGGCTAAGCGGGCACTAGAACCCAGATTGTCTGAGTCCCAGTCCCATGCTCTTAACCACCACACCACACTGGCCCTCTGGGGATTCCTGACTGATGCTATCAGCAACCCTACTGAAGCCCTGGGCACTTTATGCAACACACAGATGGGTTGGGTGGCTGAAAAACCATCTCCTGCCCCTGTGCAGTTTTCTCTTGCTGCCCAGCAAAGCTTTTTAGGGTTGTCCAGGGCCTGTAACATGCTAACTCAAGGATGTACTAAAGCCACCCGAGGCCTGCAGCAGCATATTTCGTGGACGCTTTCAGGATAACCTCTTGCATCCACCGGGACTTGGGACTCCAGTGTTGCAGCAGCTGACAAGGAATGCAGAGCACAGCCTGGTAGAGGCTTTTGAGGGGTGGCATGGAGTGCCTTCTGCCAATCAGCTGGACAGGGACAATCTGGTTTCTCTAATTCGTGTTCTGGTGATCTCCAGGCTGGTCGGCTGCAATGCACTTCCCTTGAAGACTGTGCCAAGTCAGCTGACAGCAGCAGCTCCTCAAGATCTTGGGGAAGGGCCTCTCTTTGCGCCTTCTGTCTGAGATCTTTTCCACAGGAGACGCTGGGGACTATACTGGGGCCTGAAGCAAGAAACGCACAGGCTTTACCACTGAACTACGGCTCCTTCTCAAAGCTCTGGCAAGCCTGTCCAGCCACTGCGGCGGGACTTGCCCTCAATTCAAACCAGACCTCTCGACAGCCTAAGGATCTCACCCCACGTGAGAAAGATGCGCCTGCCTGGACCAAGAAACTGGACAAGTTGTGGCTTGGATCCAGTTCTGACACTGCATCATCATCACTCAGAACCCCCACTCCAAAAATCAGTGGCCCCATGCAGATGTGTGGTGCCCAGAAACTCAGAAGAAACAGCCGTGACCAAGCATCCCTGAGTCTTCAAACAGCCGCAAGATGCTAACATGGCCCAAGACCTGACATAAAGGAAAGCCCACCTTTCGGTCTCATCTGAAAAAGAACTACTGCAGAATCTCGCCACGCCACTGAATGAAGGAACTGCGGTACACTGTGTCGCAACATCTGCGCACCCGTAACTGCCCATGGAGCCATCGTCCACAGAAGTCCTTTTCAACACGAGACGGCAAGTGCGCTGAGCAGCGTCGGGCACGCTCTGCCAAGAAACATTTGGCTTAAGTTCACAGATCTGCAGATAACATGTTTTAATGCAGGAAGGCCAGAATTTGGGCATACCTTTTTCCTCTTCTGCAGGAAGTCTGCTGGCAAGTAATAATGGAGTTGTTTCTTCTTCACGTGAGTTGCTTCAATCTTCATGCCTTCTTTTAACAGGTTGATATTATTTGCTTGCCTGTACACTAGGAGCAAGGATGACAAAGTCAGACCATGGGCTGCAGCTCGAGCAAACCTCTATAGCGACGCAAGGTGCTGCTTGTTCTGCTGTTGCCAAAGCAACAGCATCCAGCATGCAGGAGGTGGAGGAAAACCACTGAGATCTGCTCCATCATTAAAGAGGGAACACAGAAAAGAAGGAGAAGGAAGAGGAGATGACACAACTGAATAATGTCGTGGACATCTACAACAGCTATTAGGACACTACACTGCCTTGTCCAAGGTTTTAAACCTCTTACATATTCCAGGACAAATGAAGGGGTGGGGGGGGGGGAGAAAGAAAGGAAGCCACTTACCTTCCAATAGCACTGCAGTTTATAGAGTTGGTATGTTAAGAAGGCATGTTAAGACTTGGTATATGACATCATTACCAAATTTACTTAAGTTCAACATTCAACTGGATGCAGCAAGAATGCAGAAAAGAAACGCCCTAGTCTCAGCAGGACTTGGCTCTCTAAATCAGCACAAACAGCAATTCATACTCAAGTGAGGCAGTCCTCCGACTCTCCCACTCCCAGCTCACTCAAAATGATTGGTTTACCATAGAAGGTTTACCTGTATCTGTGAAGGACTGGATATCATAGGTCAGGTCAATTTTTAAACTCTCTGTATTCTCCACTTTCTTAAATGTTATTCCCAGAAACCACATGGACACACAGTCACTCCTGTAGGAAGAGCCCAAGGACAGCATGTTCATTAAAAGCACTGGTATTGTGTCAGCCGAGTTGTAAGGGGGAGATTCCGCTCCAGTGGTTCATCTGTATTACTTATGCAGGCTACTAAATTCCTAGCAGAGCAAGTGAGGGCTCTAAAGGGCAGGCCACACAAGACAATCTTGGACTATACAAGCTCAAGTGAAGGGAAAGAGTGTGGTATTTCAGTCAGAAGTTATTAATATACACTGTTTATTGACTAAGGATTTCCAAGTTTCAAAACATCTTGAAAGCAATCCACTTCTTGTACAAATAAAATTTTGTTTGTTGTTAATTCAGAGTCATAGGCTGTTTGAATATCAGTGTCTTATCCTCAGGACCATAGTCCAACAAAGGAGCCTTATAGCTTGGGCACAAATCTGTGAAAGAAGTTAACTAGTAAGATTGGAATTAAATTCCAGGTGGCAGCGTTCCATATGCAAAGAAAGACAGGGAAGTATCAAGACAATTAAAGAGATCCACACGTATCCAGACAAATTATAGGAGTACTCGTGACACATAAAGGAACATCTCCTTCCATAAACTTCTGCCTGGACCTTAACAGCATCAATAGAGGTCCTTCTTCAAGAGCTCTCCTTGAAGGAGGTGAGCAGGACAAGCATTTTCTGTGATAGTGCTCCAATTGTGGAATGCACCCCCCAGAGAGGGTTTTTTTTTTTTTTTTATCCTGCCTTTTTCCTACAAAGGGCTCAAGGCAGCTTACATCATTCTCCTCCTCCATCTTATCCCCACCACAACAACCCTGTGAGGTGCTCACTCTTCATTCATTCTGGTGCCAGGCTAAAACCTTTTTATTTGCCCAGTTTTTTTACTGGTTAGGGTTTTTTACTGGTTACCCTGATGAAAGGATGCTGGTGTTTATATAAGGCAGAGTCAACTGACAAGTGTAAAATCCTGAATTCTTTTCCCACTTGTCTGTCCTGCAAAATGCTCACTCCAGCCCAACCTGGAAAAAAATACCAGTGAGCTGTTTGCCATGTCCCAAGTCTGGTTCTTACACCAGTACAAGCCAGGATAGTAGAGGGAGAGGGATTGTGGATACAGGAAAGCGAAGCATCAGCCCTCTCATCCAACACATTTTCTTTGCAAATGCTGCTTCACATGTACTGACTTCTTAGGAAACATGCTTTCGCCTATACAGCAGGTAAAGTGACACATGCATAATGCTAGTAAGAGTACTAATGAAGAATTTTGAGGTAAAGACTAATAAATGTATTATGGTATAAGCCCGTCTTTCTGACCTGGTGCCTGCTACATGTTTTGGACTGCAGCTTCTAATAGTTCCATGCAGTATCCCCGAGAGTCAAACATGCTGAAAGCTGTGGCGCAAAGCAGCTGGAGGACTAGATTAGGGGAAGGGGCACGTCCCATCTCTTTGGTTCTGCCCCTTTGGAAGTCCCAATACCACCATCTTTTTACACATCCAGGATTTAGCAAGGTCGTAAAGCCAGGATGTTGGGTGTCCAGTTCACAGGCCTCCCCTGGTCCAACAAGATTCAGAATCTGGCCCACGGAGACTTCTAAGATTCCTACAGAAGGCATGACTTGGCCTCCTATCCCCATCCATCTCTCATGGAAGGTAGCAGCAGGGAAATTGCTGGCGCGCAAAAGCAAGCTCTTTCCAGCACTGGCTGAATAGGTTTGGGCAGTGCACACCTCCTTCAGGGCAGGCAACCTGCTCCATGTGAAAGAGACACCTTCCAAAGAAGAGGAGCACTTTCTTCTGTGCCGAGGGAAATGCATGCATGCCTCAGCAAGGAGAAAGGGAGAATGGGCGGGGTTGGTCCTAGATGCCCCCTGGCCCACAGAGGGCCTGGTGGGATGCAGTTCAGACCCCCACCCATGTCTGGCTCTGCATGATGGCACAGGTTACCAACTTACTCTTCGTGCTGCTCCCTATTCCCAGGGAAGGACTGTGGATTTACATGCGCAATGGTAATAAGTTCGTTCCTCTCCAAGTTTCCAACAAGCACACGGATTTTCGATTCTACCAAGCCAACCCTGAAAACGTAGAAGCAAAAGAAGGTTCTGTTAAGCTTTTTCCTGCAGGAAGACTTGCGAAGTACCTTCTGTGCCCCGACAGAGCAAGGTGGCTCCTGCACAGACGATCACGCCAATCTCACCTAAAGTCGTTTTATTCTTCAAGTGTTTGCATCCCATAGTTTTGCACTAAGCCACACACAAGGATTCATTTTGGAAAATGACCTTAAGTCCATTCTAGGCCTCTCCCACCTGTCACCTAGTGGCACCCATTCCAACAGGCAGGCTGAGCATCGTAGACTCTAACGGAAAAAATACCTGCTAGAATGAAATGGCCTTCTGGGCAGGTGTGGCTATTACCTTGGATCATTCTAAGTGACCAAAGTGCAGCACCACTTTAGTTGCAGATCTAAAGTGGGCCACATTCTCCGGATTGGCAGCTGGGCAGATGAAAGCTTTCAAGGTGCCAGATTTGGCCTGTGGGCTTCTAACTGCCCAAACTCTCTCCAGACTGTTTCACCTAGAAATCTGCCTGTAATGTGACCTTCACCACCCAGTCAGCATTGATATTTCAAGTCAAGTATCGAAGATAATTGTCTTTATTCCCCATTGTAGGCATAACATTACTCTGTTAGTATGTTTTATGCATTGCAAGCCACCTAGAAAGGCCTCAGCAATTATAGGCGACCTATAAATACATGTAAATAAACAAACATTGTTGAATTAGCACTGTCCTAGCAAGTTGGTCAATGGGACCAGAGCTGGTGGTGCAGCTGCTTTTGCTGAAACAGAGCAGGGATCTGCTTAAAGTCTGCATGAGAAGAGTGCCCATGGACCTCTAGGAAGGCCATCTGAAGCGCCTTGACAGAAGCCAGGAGGCACATCAATGTGGTTCCATTAAGCTGACTTAAATACCAGCACTTGGCCTATTTGGCACAGGTAAAATGTGTCACCATGGACACCCTGAAGTGATAGTGAAAACCATCACCAGCACCCTGTGACACAGGCTGACATCACAGACACCGTTATGTACCATTAGCAGGACCACAACCCTGAAGCTTTCTGTAAACATGAACTATTTATATTCCTTGTTTAGGCAGTATAGGCTGTGCAAAGTATTTACACATGAAAAAAGAGGGGCGGGGATTAACACCAATGGCAATTCCCACAGGAACTGCCTGGGGGTGGCATTGCAATTAGTTTAACAAGAGTGGCCTGTGCGCTGCCTCTGCTGCGCGTGAGAGAGAGAGAGAGAGAGAGAGAGAGAGAGAGAGAGAGAGAGAGAGAGGAAAAGGAGAGAGAGAGAGAGAGAGAGAGAGAGAGAGAGAGAGAGAGAGAGAGAGAGAGAATATAAGAGGATGATCAAAAGAAAGCATTGTGCAACTCTTTGGGGAGGGGATGCAAAAAATAATGGCAGAATGTAGTGCATAGACATAGAATTTTGCTTTTCAGAACCATTCTCCAAACAAAACCAAAGTAGCAAATTCCTATCCCTTTGACTGTGAAGATGTCAAAATTAGGCAGACACTGCGTGCAAAGTCTCCGAAGCCAGAGTGGTTTAAGCGGTCCTTAAATAAAAGCAGAACACTGTGCAAGTTTAGACAGAGAAAAGCCCTGTAGCTCTGTTTCCTGGCTGATACATGCTGGGAACCATAGGCCATTTTTCTCTCTAAACTAGCATAGGATTGCACCCAAAATTGCAAAACAAGAGGGGGCACCTTGGCATCCTGTTTACACTTTGAAGAAGCCACTTCATGATACTGAGCAGCTGAATTCCTGTTAACCCACTGGGGGCACTCAGAATGCCCCCACTGACCCTAACAAAGCTGACCAGGAAGGCAGGACTCCCATCTTCTCCCGTCCTCACACCTCTACCTGCACCAGTATCAAAAGCTGCCTCCTAAAATCAGGATTACATGGGTAACTATGGAGGCTTACCATTCCAAATGGAGCCCTTTGGTGGGGGAGCTGGCCGTCAGGACAATGTAATGCCTGGAAATGCAGACAGGTAACATCTGGTTAGCCTTAACCGTCACACAAGAAAGCCTTTCCAAGATGCTCGCTAACTTCCACACTGCTTCTCTAGGCCATCTTACCTGGAGGAGCAGCTAAAGCAGTAGCAGCAGGTAAGTTTGGAAGGAGAGCTGAATTTTCAATGACATTGACTGGACAATGATCTTTTTTCTTTTAGGGTGGGGTTTAGGAACATTCACACTACTAACAGTTGAGTGTCAGTGTGTGAATCCTTTGGCCACTACAATGTACCTTACATGGGATGCCTCCATGCATGTGGCCCCATTCTTGGAATTGTATGGGGTGAGCAGAAGACTCCATCTTCTGTATGTCACCTTCTCACATTTTTCCACCCTTCCTTCCTAACACAACAGATTTTGTAAGGAGGGAAAGAAGGAATGCCATTTTTGCTAGGATTAGGAGTCTTCATCTGGAAACACCCATGTACAAAAGAAACTTTTGGGGAACCAGAAAGACGACGATTCCCCTTGCCACACTAATTGTTTGGCCAAGATGCTTCAAGTCCACAGTTTTGATTCTTTGTGTCAAGGCAAGCGAGCTCACTCCCGTTCTGGTTTCAGCAATGGACTGCTGGTGGACATCTGAAGATCCAAGACTAATGGGAGCTTAAGTTTAGTACAAGAAGCACAGCACAGGCAACAATTTAAGGATGATTTTCTATTTCTGGGGAGGGCAAATTGTTAACCTGCAAGTGTTTTGGCCTACAACTTCCACCAGGCTTCTCCCTTGGCTGTGCTGGCTGGGGCTGATGGGAACTGTCTGGTGTTCCAGATACTCTGTACTATGCTATGTACCCCTAACTTGGATAACCTAAGTTTGGTAAGTGGGTATATTCCACTACAGTTTGAGAACAGTTGCACTGCATTCCAGCATGTTCCTGAGAACTCAAGAGAGAGAGTTTTAAGCCACAGTGGACTGAAATCCAAGCATCTAAAGGACAGCCTCCTCCTGAATCAACTGTCTGGGTACTAGGCTCTTCCTTTGAGAATGTTCAGTAGTAAGGATGATGGTGACCAGAACCAAGGGCATATTCTGTGGGATGCTCCGTCTCTCAATCATGGCTGCTACGGAGCTTATTTTGTTTCACGAACAGCCAGCAATAACTAATTCACATAATAAGCAGTACAGCAAATACTGACTCCTACTCCTTTTTTCTAAGCCAATATACTATAACCTTCCCTTTTGCTTATCACAAAGTTTAATGCATTCTATTCCCAGCTTATGTGGTCAGTGCTGCATATGTATTTTGTTTCACAGGTCTTTCTCTGCATTGAACGTGAATGTGCAACACCTTCTGAATGTGTTGCAGCTATTGTGTTTCCACACTCTTTCATGTGTTTCCATACAAGAATGCTCATGTGACCTGCTGTGTCATTGTGGCTTTTTCTAAGTTCATCGTAATTTTACTTCTCTGCTTTGGGTACCTTAGTAGCTAAAGAGCAGGACAAGAATTTGCTTAAAACAGAATTTGAAAGCCTGGAGGTACTCTCACATACTTGTACTTTTGGAAAAAGTTCGGTGGTTCCAACAGCTTTGGCCAGTCCGATTTTCCTTGAAGAATCTCATCTGCAACTACAAGACCTGTTTAAACATACAAGAACTATTTAGGGCACAATCCCAGGCCAGTTTAGATAGGAAAACTGGGGCATGCTTGGAATTGAATCACACCCAGAAACACAGACATCTCTCTCAGCCTCAAATATCCCCATTTAGACATGGCAGGCATGTCACGAGTGGAGCTGGCTGGAGCCAGGGGTCAGACTAGATAGCCCAGCAGACCCCTTCTGACTCACTCTGTTCGCTGTGTTTCCCTCATCTACTCCCTCTCCTCCAGTCACCACCCCTCCAGTTGGTATCTTCCTCTTTTGGTGAAGCAGACGTTACAAAAGGCACGGAACTGCAGCCCTGCTCTTCCCGCTTACAGCTGGGGCTGGCTACGTCCCCTGTGCTGCGTGCCGCCCTCCACCACCACCACCCATGAGGGCCAGGGGCCTGCGACGCACTGCAGAATGGCGTCACAGCACGCTGCGCTGACGGGCGCATTTCCAGGGAAAGACATGCGAACAACCAATGGCGGCGGCTGCTCTCTGCCACATCTAATTCTACCCGTTCTCAAGGACTGTCCACCCCACCTCCCTCCCTCCTCTTGCAAGCTTCCAGCGCGCTACAGCCAACTGAGATTTCTCAGATGAGGACCTTTCAACCCCTTTTCAAACCACCAAAATAAAAACAGTCAGTTTACGACCCAAGACCACTCTCTGTGGTGGCCACAAAATGGGGGTGATACCAGCTCTGGGGCACAGCGAGTAGCCCAACAGGCTGCACACACACCGTGCAAAAAGATCTCGGGTTAGACAAGGAACGCCGTGATGCCGACGCTGCTCGCACTGCTGAGCGACGACTCGACCTCAGGAAGAGAACTGAAAATTCCTCTCCTGCCAAGGGAACAGTGAGCAGAAAGGTACCCCAATTTTGCTGCTGCCCAATGGGGTGGTGAATTTTAGGAAGATGTTTCAATTCCATTCCATTTCTATACTGCCCAATAGCTGAAGTTTTCTGGGTGGTTTACAAAAGGACATTAAAATCCAATATAAAATACAAACAGCAATAAGAATGTCATAAAAAGTGACACACCTCATTTAAAACAAATATAAAAAGCTTATACAGATTAAATCGTAATAGCCGTTTAAACAGCTAACAAAGTCCCAGTATCCAAACAAATTAAATGCCATGAGTAGAGGGCAGTCTTAATCTGGTGCCAAACAGATATTAAAGTTGGCCAGGCAGGCCTCATGGGGAGCCTGTTCCAGAATTGGGGTGCCACCACCAAAAAAGCACTTCCTGCTGCCAACAAACTAGTCTCCCTCAGAGGTGGCAATCAGAGGCAGGTCCCAGATCGTGACTATAGTACCTGGGCAGAGGGGTGTTGGGAGGGGCTTTTTGTCAGGGGCTGTGGTCCCAAGTGCTGTAGGGCTTTCTGCTCAGCTGCTCTCTCCCTCCCATCAAGAAACAACTTGCACCCTTAGAACAGACATCAGAGATCAGCAGTGCCAGTTCCAGGTGCCTGAGCACCACTGGACCCTCGTGGGACCCCCCTGCATGCTGCCATTGCTACCAGCTGGTAATGCTCCTCGTCGTTCCGTTCATCCTGGTACTCCTTGCTCCCTGGAGAGGTGGTGACATTGCCCACTCCCTCTCAGCACCACAGCTGTCTGGGCCAGAGCAAGCAGCAGCTGAGCAAGCGGGCTGTTGGGGTGCAGACGAGCAGCAACACGCGGGTGGAGAGGGGTCTGGTTAGTGGTGGGGCTGCTCATCTGAATGTGCCTGGCTGTGCCTACCCTTCACATTGACCTTGGAGATCAGCTTTATCAGAAAGCAACACAAATCCACCCCCACAACAGGCTTATCAGGAATGGCAACTGATGAGAACCTGATGAGGAGCAATGCAATCCTATCAGATTTTGGCAGACCAAAAGTGAGACAGAATGCCAGTGCTGTACACAATTCGGACACGCAATCAGAAAATAACTCTCAAGCATCAACATGGCAAGATCCTTTTGTTACAGAGCTCTGCCAGCCTACAAGTTACAGGTTCACATTCTGCCATTTTAAATATGGTCTTTGAGAGTCCCTTGGACCGCAAGGCGATCAAACCGGTCAGTCCTAGAGGAGATCAACCCTGACTGCTCTTGAGAAGGCCAGATCCTGAAGATGAAATTCAAATACTGCGGCCACCTAATGAGAAGGAAGGACTCCCTGGAGAAGAGCCTAATGCTGGGAACAATAGATGGCAAAAGGAGAAGGGGACAGCAGAGGATGAGGTGGCTGGATGGAGTCACGGAAGCAGCTGGAGTGAGCTTGAGTGGACTCTGGGGAAAGGTGGAGGACAGGAAGGCCTGGAGGGATGTTGTCCATGGGGTTGTGATGGGTCGGACATGACTTCGTGACTAACAACAACAATTACAGGAGAGGATATGGGAAGAGCGAGATGGCTTACCATATTTGAATTCTTCCACCATTATCGCTCGGGTTGATGAAGACACGTTATATGTGGAGTTCTGCTGTGGATAGGCTGGTGTGATGATCGGCATCAGATGGTACCGGTCAGCTGGATTTACCTGTAGCATAGGAAAGGTTGCACAGGCATAGCATGGTACTGGAGAGCACGCACTGGAAACCGTTCCTTTTCCAAATCCCACCCCTTCTGTGAATCTACTAGTTGGCCAGCCACACTCAGCCCCAAGGAGTTACTGTCCGTTTGCAACTGGCTGTGTGTGCATAACGCTGACCTGCTTTTAAAAAGTCTGCTTGAAGATAGCAAAGATACTGCATGAAGCAGGCTGTGAGACCTTTGGTGGAATTGGGGAATAGGGAGATATTTTTCTTTGTTCCTCATAATGCCAGAACTCAGTGGGGCCATCCCATGACAAGAAGCAAGGTTCAGGCCAGATCAAAGGAAGGACTCCTTCACACAGTGCAGTCCAGCCATGGGACTGGCTTCCACAAAATACACTGATGGCCATCACTCTGAATGGCGTTAAAACAGGACTGGGTGAATGCACTGCAGAGAAGGCTCTCGTTGGCTCCGTCCTCCCTACAGCATCAAGGCTACATGCCAGGTATACTACTTTAGGGGAACTTTAGGACACTGTTGTAGTCATGTCCTGCTTGTGGGTTTCCTGTGGGCTATATGAACTGACAGCTGGATAAGATCTGCTGGCCTGATCTAGCATGGCGTTTACACTACATGAAGACGAAGCAGTCAAGTAGTTCCCTCGTGATGTAGCAACACCTTCCTCACTTGCTGCTGAATCCGTGAATTTATTGGATTTAGGACAGCTGCAACGCAACGCATTCTACATACCCTTGGGTCCCAGACCGGCAAGTTGAGGCTGCTCTCTTCGGGTTGCTTCAGCAAGACAGGATTGGGCCATTCCCTGCCAGAGAAAGCAGCAACAACACCCTGTAATAGACCTGGAGATAAGATAGCCCACAGATACTCCTCTCATTTCCTGCAGACGTGTGTCCTGTGCTATGGTCTAGCATCTGCGTGTCCATTATTCTTATCTGCACACAATGCCAGCCTCATGAGTATGTGGGAAATCTGGGCACGCAGACACATACGTGGGAGTGGTGCTAGTCTACACCGTGGAAAGGCAAATCATGCAAGCCTTCCTCAGCTTCTAGATGTGCTGGGCTACAACACCCATCATCCCCAGCCATGTGTCCAACACATCTGCCAGGTCAGCAATGCTGAATTTTACTGTGCAAACTAAGACTAAATCGGGTATAAGCACCAGCACAAAATGGGTTTCATCCTCTGAAGAGGACAGGCTCATGGGCCAGAGGCCAGTCCCTGATCGCTTCCCAGAAATCATGTGGCGGGGCCGACGCACCCCTTGCTTAGCAGTCAGGCACAAAGCTTTCTCCGTAAAGCCCTCCTCTTCCCTGTCAGGATAAACAGACAGCCAACTGGATGTCTATTTAAGGAGTTTCCTGTTTCATTTTCTTTATATTACCCACCAGAAAGCATTAGACAATGTACACTATTAACTGTCAAGAGCAAAAACACATACACACTAAATTTAAATAAATTCAGTAACTAAAAAGAAACCTTGTAATCAAAGCAGCAAAGTGGCCCTCAACAGGCATTCCAGACCAGGCAAACATCTTTAAAAAAACTAATTTGGATGACAGCAAAGAGGCATGTTTATCTCAGCTGGGCTGTGACTTTCTGGGACGGATAACAAGGGTGTTCCACTGTGAAATGCACAATTTCACGGTCACTTTACCTGCCACTCATAAGCTAGTGGCAACATTCTGCTGGCCTGGGTTTTTAATCTGTGTTCTGCCCACATTATGGTCAGCTTTACGATCAGATACTTACCATTTTGAAAAGATCAAGAAGAATTTATGAACTAGTGTTGATGCTAAAGCATTTGGATACAGCTGACATGTCCTTGCCACCAGCATGGCCCAGGAAACGCCACCAAGGAATCCCAGCATGTTAGAATAAATTCCACGTCCTAAAGGTAGACATGCATTACTCCATTTCCTTGGTGTTTCAGATTAACTCACTTTCTTCCCCCATGCCAGACAAGGAAGTTTGAAAAATCACATTTTCGATACCTTGTATTCAATTTCAGCTCTAAGGAGACTGAAGGCCAAATAACATGAGAAGCGCTATTTAAAGCAGCTTCACAGCTGCTACAGCAACTCTCAGGGATCTAGGCAGAAGCTTTGCTTTTAAAGCAGCTCCCCCTTGTGGCACATACCGCTTTTCTACCTACAGCTCCGCACACTGAGCTCAGGTTCCTTTGCTCTCATCTAGCTAGTGCAAAGATCACAGGGCATGCAACAGAAACACGCACATGCCAGTTGCACGTGAGTGCAAGGCAAACGCACATGCAGGATCCACACGGTTGATTGCCCACATCCAGGTAATAACAGAGGAGCGGCCACAAGATGCAGCTCAGGATGGGAACTCCGGCACAGTGCAGGACTGCCGAAGAACTCACAAGTAACTGTGAACTTCAGTTAATTTCTGGCTGGCTCGTCACATGCATTTAACCGCAGCGATTCTTACAGCAGGTAGGGGACATTACTGCACGACAGTGCCGAAGACGTATTTCCCCCAAATATGCAGCAACGTCTTTGAGGTTTGCCCACAACATGGCACTCCACCAATGCCATGATGGCCAAGCTCCCGGCAGCTGAAGAGAGCACGTTAGTCACCTGGCAGGAGGCAGCTGGTAACCTGAATCCTAGTTTGAGCTCAGTTTAAAGAATGCATTTATAGTGGATGATTGTAACACGCTCTACGTGGGGCTGCCCTTGAAGACAGTCCAGATACTTCAATTAGTTCAGAACAGAGCTGCCAGGATATTAATGGGGACTGGCAGGTGTTCAGATATAATGCAGGTACTCTATCATCTGCACTGGCTACCGATTGATGTCTGGGCCCAATTTAAAGTGCTGGTGATGACCTATAAAGCCCTAAGTGACTTGGGTCCGGGATACCTGAAGGAGAGCCTTCTCCCTTATGTGCCCTCCCACCCCTTAAGATCTGAATCAGAGGCCCTCCTCCGGGAGCCATCCTTGAAAGAGATCAAGCGGGTGACTAGCCAGAGGGGGGTCTTCTCTCCGGTGGTGCCCTGATTGTGGAACACGCTCCCCAGAGAGGTTCGCCTGGCACCAACGCTTCTTTCCTTTCGGTCTCAGGTGAAACCCTTTTAATTCTCCCAGTATTTTAACTGTCAACTTTTTTAGTTAATGTGTTTATATTTTAACATTGGATGCTGGGCAACTGTTATTCTTATTTCTATTTTTAGGATTAATTTCCTGTAAACTGTCCTGAGACGTCTAAGTATGGGAGGATATAAAGGTAAAAGGTAAAGGTTTCCCCTTGACATTAAGTCCAGTCATGCCTGACTCTAGGGGGCGGTGCTCATCTCTGGTGCTCATCTCCGTTTCCTAGCCAAGGGATCCAGCGTTTGTCCGCAGACGGTCTCCGTGGTCATGTGGCTGGAATGACTAAACACTGAAGTGCACGGAACGCTGTTACCTGCCCACTGAAGTGGTACCTTTTTATCTACTTGCATTTGCATGCTTTCGAACTGCAAGGTTGGCAGGAGCTGGGACGGAGCAATGGGAACTCACCCCGTTGTGCACATTCGAACTGGCGACCTTTCGATCAACCAGCCCAGCAGCACAGCGGTTTAAACCAATGCGCCACCTGCAGTCCCCTTGGGAGGGTATAGAAAAGTTTTCAATAAATAGTGGAATATTAAATACAGTGGAATTTTAAGACAGTACACCGTAAGACAGGCCATCCAGATACTTGGTATTCTGTTTTGTTTACCGTTAAGATGGGAAAACAAACCCCCTACAATTGTACATATCCGATTTTGGAATGCCACAGAACAGGGCCCCCCTAAATCACCACCCACAGAACAAGAGATAACAATAATATTTTTTTTCTGCAATCAGGATGATGCTATGATTTAAGTGAATTTAAAATGCAAAAAAGCAGAGTACATCAATCGGTCCATCTATCAGCCTTGGCAAATAATTTTGTTGTTGCTCTAATGCATCAGATATGGAGAAGCAGTTGCAAAGCACAGAACGGGGAGAGCAGTGTTAGTGGTGTGCTATATAACTAAAGTGCACCTATCTCAAAGGGGTTCCCATAAGACCATCAAGTGGGGTGGTCAGCTTCCTTTTTGCTGTCAATGAGGCACAGGAGCATTACTCTGTGCATGCTCAACACCTGATTTTCAGAGGTGCACTGCCTCAATCCATGACAATTACATTTGCTTCTACTGTTATTCGTGAGACCTATGCACATGGACAAAATCCTGCAATAGTGTGGCACTCTGCCAAACAATTGGGAGTTTTGAAAATTTAGAGACTACCCTTTTTGCAGGGAAAACCTACTTCCTTCCACATGGATACAAAATGTGGCAACCAGCAGGATTTCCTGGGAGCCTGACCGACCTGCCTCTTGACCTCTGCAAGACTCTTCGTGCCAGGCATTAGTTTAGGTGGCAGCAGCTACTGAACTGGGATTTTTGCGAGCCTAACTCTGCAAAAATTTGGGTTTTTACATGACTTGGATCAGGAAGGGAAGCAAGAAGGTGCACATGCTAAATTTCAGAGCTGCACTGCCTGGTCACGAGATCTCAGAGTCCTTCTGGTGAGATTTCCCCCCTGAAATCACCCTGCTTCATTCACACAATTTTCTAGGAAGGTTCAGATGATGTTGTCTTCTTTTTCCTAAGGGGGGGCGGGACGAGGGGGGATGCTAACGAGAAAAAGATAGAAAAGGCACACAGTACCTTTTGATCAGTGCCTCTCTGCCATTATTAGACAGCACACAGACTCGTTTCGGGAAAGGTGCATCGCATTTAAAGCATAATCGGCATTATGCAGATTCCGAGGCAACGTACATATGTGACAGGCTCGCTTGGCTTAGCCTAAAGAGTCATTTCAAGGACTATTAAGCTGAGAAGCTGATAACACAAAATTTGATGTATTAAGTACTTACGTTTTGCCCACAGTTTAATTGCTCTGAGCGTCAGCCTGAAGTTCTCCTTGTTTGGTACTAAATGAAGTATTTCATCAGTGACTCTGCAACCTGCCGACAAACGTTAAGCTTTCACGTTAAATGAGGCAAAGGCACCAAGCTACTAAGAGGCAGCAAGGGGTAGCACAAAGATAGAGGTAGTGTGTAATAAGGTTTTAATTTGGCTGGAGTAAAAGCCTCACATGGTTTGAATTGACAACTCTAAGTGGAAACGCTAGACTTATCCCTTTCTGGTTCATGCTAACGCAATCAACTGGCCAACCCGAAAACAAAAAACAAACACAACACAAAGCCCCAAGCAAAGCAACACAAGCAACCACATTTTGGAAGAATGTTCCTTCTTCTGGGGCTTCTCTAAATATGAGCTTTTTAACACTGAGCAAAGAAGAGGACTGTTGGCACAGGATCCATCTCCAGAATATTTCGAGGTAGGGAGAAGAAAGAATCTTGCCCCAAACCCTGGACAGTCAGTGACATTTAGAATGGACAACAATGTACAGGATGATCTGACTCAGTACAAGACAGCTTCCTATGTTCTTATAAGAATCAGGGACGTCTCTGAAGGAAAGGCGCTTCCAAAAATGTCTGGTGCTCCTACAATTTAGGCACCCTTTCAGAATTACTTCTCTATTTTCTGCCTTCCTTGCTATGGTAGTAATTCAGAGAACTGCAGAGCTATATAGATGCGTGCTTTTGCATGGCAGGCTGCTTTTGAAATTGTAGACATGCTAAAGCAGGCTGAGGCACAGTTTTGAGCAGGGAGGCCTCAGTCACATCTCCCTTCAGCTATGCAACAAAGGGATCCTGGGCTGGTTAGTTTATGTACCCAACCTAGTTCACTCTGGGAAGAACAGTGGGGTGGTGTGAGCTGGAGGAATGCCTTGGAGGGAAAGGCAGAATAAAAAAGTATTATGGCACATGGATCTTCTATCCAAAGTCTAAAATCCTCCCTCTAGGTGCACTTAAAGCTCCTCTCTGGATCAGGGTGCCTATCCTTCCAACAGAGATACAGGAAAGCCACTGGCTCAGCGGAGAGTCAAGCAATTTTGGTTCCTCTCCTTAAACTAGTTCCTGTGCCAGCTGATGAGCTCAGCAAGAACTTACGGTCACATTGCAAGCGCTTGTTATAAGAATCATGTAGCAAGACTGGTACCCCAGTTTTCCTTTCCCTTCCCTGCACTTATGCCTTTTCTACTCTGTATTTTAGACGGAACACCTCAGAGCAGGGGTTGTCTTGTTTTCCAGCTAAAGCAGCCTTCCCCAACCTGGTGGCATTTGGACTGCAACTCCCAAAATCCCCATCCACCAGGACCATTGGATTACAACACCCAGAATTTCTAGTCAAATGTGTCTGGAAGGCACAAGGTTGGGGAATGCTGAGCTAAAGGGTAAGGAACAAATAAAACATTTAAATAAACTTTGTCATCTTATTACTACTAAACATATTTTTCTATTATTATTGTTTGGGTTAGAAAAATATGTCTGGTACCCCTGCTCATCTGCCACATGCACAAGTTGGCTCAAAGTGCTAACTTCCACCTTTCATGTGTTGCAGCCTGATAATGCGGGGTTCTAGGGTTCTAGTCATCTGAAAACAATTAATGCAAGGTGGTATTTAAGAGGGAATATCAGATTATTCAGCACAGTGCTGAGTGTGAACACTTTCAGGCAGATGGCTCTGAGGACCTCCAAAAGACCCCATGCAATTATTCTATCTTTTCCTCACTGACTGATTGCTGTTTGCAGAAAGGAACTAGTGGTAGGAAAACATGGGAGAGTTCACCTAACATTTTGTGAATGAGGCAAAGTGATTGTTTGCTAAAAGCTTTGTCTAGACGCACTCTAAATTTTAGACACTGAACCCATGAGAACTACGTGCTTAACCCCCTGTATTTAGTGCACATTTAATTTCAAAATGCAGGCAGTCCCTGAGTTACAAAGATCTGAGCTATGAACAACCTGTGCTTATGAATGAACTGAGAAAAGACTATTATTTTTTAAACATTACTGCCGAAAATTGTTATAACCACAGAGAGAGTGGAAATGGTGAGGGGTGGGGAGAGGGAAGCTTCTGAAGCATGCCTTCCTGCCCAGCCCATCTGGAGAGGGAAATCTCGCCAGCACTACCTTGCTGCAAAGAGCAGGTGTGGGTGAGCTTGGGTGGGGCAGGATATCCATGCCTTTTCCACTTTCACGGGGTCCTGTGCCCCTAACCCCTGTGAACAGGGAGCGCTAACTACAAACTCGCACACAAATTCGACTCAAAGACGAATTTCCATTTTCTCAGGCATGGAATTCATTTGTAACCTGGGACTGCGTGCACTTGTGGAACAGAGTTGAGCAGTCATTCTCAGGGTTTTAGAAAGATAAGGTGCTACCATTTAAGCTCCGAATACATCGTATATCAAGGCTTCTCAGACATGAGTCATCCCGAAGATCCAGGTTGTCAGAAATGGTTGCCAGTGTCAGCCTTGCAAACACAAGATCAATCTAAAGCAGAGAGAAAAGAAAGTAAGGTCTGAGCAATGACCGTTTTTTAATAGCTGGCCAAACGTCAGGCATGTGGCCTTGGTCTGCACAATCCACTCTTAAGGCTAGAGAAATGCCTTCCTGATGTTCCACAAACGCTGCCCACGTACTCCCATGAGCTCTTCACACTGGTGCCAGCGCCGTATAAAGAGCCGCACAGCGTGAAACCCAGCAGTGCTATCAACAGCGGCAGTTCACGATCAATATACTGAGTAGGGGCTGAATTGAGGCCTACAGGAGCCGTTTCTCTTTTTACTGGAATGGGGAGGCTTACTAACTGGAGCCACGTACAAAACGGTGGCTCAGAACCCAGAGTTAATTTCACTCTGTAGGTCCCAACATTTCATCTGCATTTACATTTTAAAAGCATCCTATTGTCTTAACTGAAAAAAACAAAATGGGGAGTCAGACAGCTCCCCTATTCTGCAAATCACTCACAGAACTACTGTGATTACCATGAGATGGATCAGCCTATTTCTGTTCCTAGTCAGTGTCTTTTGCAAATGTTTATTCACGCCCTGCCCAGCGACCAACACTCTTCCCTGCTTGTTGCTGCAGGTGGCTGCACGTGCAGGGAAGGGGCACTGCGAGCTGGTGTGCCGGGTCCCATTCCCAGCAACCAACCTTCTGCTGAACTTGCTGCTGCTAGTGACTACTGGGAGCACTCCGTGCCTTTGCAAAGCGGGCCAGAGTCTGGGAGTTCAGCCCAGGGAATGCAACAGATTTTAGTCTGGCGACATAAAGAAGCCCACTGTCCTAAACATGCATTGCCACTTGAGCTAAACTCGTGCTACAAGAAGGATGTTTCCCTCATGCACTGCCACCTTGAGCCACATAGCTACGCTCGTGTATATTTCCTGGAAGGTGGCAGAAATTCAGCTCATGTCTGCCACCAACTGCAAGGTATCAGTTTCATTTCTTTGTGAACATTTGTCAGCAAGTAGAGACTTCAGTGCAAGGGCAAAATCACAACAGACATAAATTGTACAATTGCATTTAACAAATGTTATTTTTAAAAATCACTACTGGGGCAGGGGAGGAATTTAGTTTGAGAATTATGGAATGCAGCATGGAGAAACTTAATCCCTTCTCATGCTGTGGTCTGGCTGGGCTCCCACCCTGCCACCAATCGGGTGGGTAGGGGGAGCTCATCCAATGAAACTGACTGGTGAGAGATTCAGGACAGGTCAAAGGAAGGACTTCTTCACACAACAGAGAAGTAAACTATGGAATTCACTGCCACAGCAAGTAGAGATGGCCACCAATTCAGGCAGCTTTGAAAGGGGGCTAGGCAAATTCATGGAGGAGGAGGCTAGCAGCAGTTACCCGTCTGTGCTGCCTCTGTTAGCAGAGGCATCCGTTGCTGGGCAGGAGGAACTCTCGCATCTATCCTGCTTAAGGGATCCCATGGGCAGCTGGTTTGCCACCCTAGCAGTGGGATGCTGGACTGGGTGAACCACTGGTCTGATCTGGCAAAGCTTTTCTTTTCTTAATTGCTTCTATGTGTTTAAATCATAGTTCAGATTTCATCTGGCTAAGACCCTCTCAAATGCAAACTCATGTGAAACAATAAAAAAGAGAATGTATTCACCTCAATACCATCAAATTCAAACTTGATTACTGGCACATATGCATCTTCTACTGCCTGCAGGATTGAGAAAAATGCAGATAGAATATGTTTTAGGATGCAGTTATGGTGTCATGAGAAATTCATGAAATGAATTTTATACAAGCAAGCAAAACCCAAGTTTTGCCTTGTATTCACATTTAGACCCAAAGAATTTTATTGGTAAAAGCAGACCTCTATCAGACCAGCAATCAAGTGGTGGAACCAGATTATGATGCAGCATATCCTCCAAGATAGAGGTGGAATAGCCCAAGGCAATAATGTCAGGGAGCTATCCCACTGCAGGCATGGTACTCCTGATGCAATTGCTCCAATCCTATTAAATGTTCCTTTAGTGCAAAATAAAATATACATACCGTCCCAAAATGTTTGTACCCCACAAAACCAGAAATGGGCTTTTTACAAGCCTCTACCAGCACCAGCTGCTATCTGAGGTGTCAGTCAAGGGAAGAGGGAGCAGGGAGGAGGAGAAATTGGGAAGCTAAATGAAAACCATCCAATGATTTACCCAGCCTGTGGGAGGGAGGTTCCTTGTTCCTGGTTCAGATGTCTGGCAAAAGATCTACACAGCAAGCCCAGTTTGGGGCTCAGAGCAGTCTACCATTCTGGCACACACAGGCACTGGAGAGGGCTCACCCCAAACCTGGTTTGAGACAGGCACTCCCCATCAGCCCCAAGCAGCACGGCCAATGCCCAGGAATGTTGGGATTTATAGTCCAAAACACCTAGACAGCATCAGGCAAGGGAAGGTGCCCTACCTGCTCTCACAGGTATGCACTGCACCTCCAAGTATGATTGGGACCCATGGGAAGTGGCGAAGTATATTTCCTATGGTTTCCACTGCAAAGACTGTGCAGCAGCATGTGTAGGTTTGGAGGCAATGGGAATGACGTTCACCACGGCTCCTGGGAGTTACTGATGCCTGGCAGTAGACGCTCTTCCAGAAAGGGTCCAGAGGAGGGCATTTTAAATGTTAATATTATTGAATTTTATCTGGCCAGGGTGGCTTATTTTATATTGTATGTTTGTATTTTATTCTAATGTTTACATTTTTAATCATAATTATTTAATTTATTGTTGTAAGCCGCCCCGAGGCTTCGGCGAATGGGGCAGCATAAAAATGTTTTAATAAATAAATAAATAAAAACAAAAATGATCCAGGGTTTGGAAACACTGCCCTGCGAGGAGAGACTGAGAGAACTGGGCCTGTTCAGCCTTGAGAAGAGAAGACCGAGGAGGGACATGTTCAACAGTTCAAGAGTTTCCTAGCTCATCAGTCCTACAGTAGCTTTTTCTAATACAGTTCAACAGTAGCCTTTTCTAGTTACTCCAGTCCCTTGATCATTTTAGTTACCTTTTTTCCTAATTTCTGCAATATCCGTTTTAGGTGTTCCAAGTGTGGCTGAACCGTAACACAATATTATGCTGGAAGCTTTATTTCTAATTCCTTTCCTAATTATACCTCATATGGAAGTTGCCTTTTTCACAAGCAATCACACAATGGATTGACTTTTTTTGAGGTGTCCACCAAAACCCATGAATTGTCTTTCTAGGTCAGTCACTGCTAGTTTTGATCCCATCAACATATACTTGAAGTTGGCATTTTTAATGGTCAGATCCCATTAAGGGTGAGCTTGGCCTCTCGCGAGTGAAGGACTCCAGGAAACTAGTCTTCACAATTCCTCATTCCAGATCCCATGTCCATCAAATTTAATTGCATGAACTTCCCAATAGTGGGAATTGGTAGTTCTCTCCCTCAACTAATGCAATCATACATTGGTTCCCCATGGAGACAGCTTTTTAAAAATATAACTACTTAGTCCACAATGAACTGAGATAGCAATTTTGCTCCTGTTAAATGAAATTATAGATCAATAGCATGAAGATCTCCAAGAAGTCAACCCATCTTCAGTAGTGCTATCCCATCTTCTCGCTGGCCTGAAGTAAACAAAGCAGTGCTTCACACCCGTTTATCCTCTTGACCCACCTACGTCAGGATAGTCCACTTTACTGGCTCTTTGAGAATTTTTAGCTCAAAATTGGCAATTTTTTGGAACCATTTGGGAGTTCGAGAATCTATGGCAAGTACCACCACAAATATCAATGGAGAGCTTTTATGGTGACTAGTTGTTGCATCTGTGGATTGCAGCCTTTGTCTCTATGAGCAAAACCTTTTGTTTTGTGTTCACTGGACACCGAAATGCCTTTTTCATAAGGGATTGCTTACTTCAGCTAATGCTTTGTTTAAATATACATTTTGGCAGTGTCCAAAACTTGCTTCTTACCAGGAGGAGGTTATTACACAGAAGCATTTTATACAAGAACAGTCCTTAATATCCACTGAGGTACAAGCTCTTTTAGATTATTTACCTGCTTCTTGGCAATCAACAAATGGTTGAATGGATTTTCTGTAGCCCTTGAAAACTAAAAGACTGATGTTACAATACTGGAAGGATAAACACCTCTTATAATGCACTGGACTGAGAACCTAACAAAGCTTTCAGTATTTCAACAGGTGGCATACAGATGCTACCTTCAAAGAGATACTTATGTGAGTATTTGTTCTACTTGTTTTACAGCCAAATTGCTTGAAAGTTATGTGCACTAATTACTAGATATATGTAAATCCATATATACATATTAAAAGGGAGGAATGAATGTTTTGTGGGCATTTGCAGGCACCATGTTGGGGACTTCCTCACAATGGCGATGTGTTCGGTGCACCTGCTTTGATAAGGAACAACATGGACCGCCAGGCATGCAACAGAAACGTTCAACAGCTGGACAAAGATTCCCCCTCACTTACGCATTACATTTTTATCCTAGGAACATCCTTACCTGAAGGTAGTGCAGCCTTAATTAGGGTTGGGATGAACCCTGCCAGAATCCACCCTCCAGGCATTTCAAGCCGGTCTTCCAAAGTGAGCTGGGCTGAGCCAAGAGGAGGTCCACAGAGACCTGGCTGTGCGCATTATGCAACCAGGAAACTTTTTCCACATCAGCTGCAGTGGGTTGGGGGTCTGCTTGTGGGTATTGCTTACACAGCACATGGGTCTCATTTCCTAGCAAGCACCCCACAAACATGGGGTAAGCTCACCAGGGACATGGACACTGGGCTCTGACAAGTGGACAGGACTCTGGGGAGTTGAGCTCAGGGAATCCAACAGATCCCACACGCATCTAATCTTAACTAACTTGGCAACTTCCAGATGTGATGTTCCTAAAATTCCTCAGCCAGCCTAGCTAGGAGGTCTGTGGGAGCTGTAGGATCTGAAGGATGCTGGGGTGGGGAAACTGATGCCAGCAGATTGCAAAGCATGGGGAACTGAAGTTTTCACCTCACCGTCTGCTGTGAGTTCTGGGTTTCCAAGATCATACAGAACAGGTTCACTCAATCACTTGTTTAAACTGGGGTGTCTGATGATTGCTATTTGCCTGGAAGTGGCTTGTTGTGTCATCTGAAATCAGGCAGGATGGTTTGTTGGAGTGGGAAACAACTCTCAGATAAACCAACAATAGGTCATGATTATTATCCTGCTAACTGGGGCCTTGTTCGAACAGAATGGACTGCACCAGACTACATGGCCCAGTGTAACAAGGTGATTCCTACGTTTTTTTATCAGTCAGTATCACTTCAGATAAAGTGCATTCGAATGAACGGAGTTCACACACTGAGCTGCCAAGGAGTAAATAGGAGTCACATACACCTGTGAGCATTCCGACTGAAGACAAGATGCTTACTCTTAAATTTCTGATGCCTTTTTGGAGCTTTAGCTTTTCAAAGAACGACAGGAAGAAGTCTGATCTTTCCACATGTCTGGGAGCAACACAGAGAGCATCTATGTCAGCACCTACCAAAAAAAGAAACAGAAAGCAGGAGCAATGCAACAGGCAACTGTGAACAGCCAAAGATCAACCATTTCATGAGTCAAGACTGGCTACAAAAGCCACACCTTTTGTGTGAACTCCAAGCCGATAAGAACCAAACGTTAATATCTTGCCACCAGAACTTGAAAAGACTGAAGATGGAAGGTTCTGAAATGGAAAAACAGGGTTTATCTTGAAAATTTAAGCAAACACATTTTTCCAGAGACAACAGTTGTCATTTCAAATATGCTTGAATGTTGAAATGTTACAGGACTTCTCCATTTCTTGGATTTGTATTGACTAACACGCAAGACTCTGTGTTGTATAAGTGTAATATTTCTTCTGGTGCTAGGATTTGAAAAGGCAAGGAGATGAAATAGCTAGTTTTAGTGCTCCTTACTCAAGAACTATTTCCATCGGTGGCCATTACACCAAGCGAGGCCTGAGTGAGCTGCCAAACAGCAAAGCTCCAAATAAGGTCTGTCCTTTGGCTGGCCTATGTACTTCAAATGTGCCGGTTTCACTTTTCCTGGTTGCCCACATGGTTTTCCAGCATGCTTATTAAATTATAACTCATGTTATCTTCTACTATGAACTGCCTTGAGTGCAGCAGCAGAAGTGAAATATAAACGCATGCCTTCTCAAGAAAGGAAACCTCCTTAGGACAAAGCCAGTTTTAATTAGACTTTGATCCAACCAGTTCATGTGACTTTAACAGCAGCTGAAAAAGGAATGCTACATCTTTCCCAAAAGCATCAATCCTTCTCTGCCGTGGCTTCCAATCAGCCAGATGCTACTACAATTTGCTGCTGCTGTCGGCCACGAGGTTTTAAAGACCATTCTAACTGCCTCTAAGATGGGGAAAGAAGGAGTGAGGAAGAGCAGGCAGGAAAGTGCTTCTGCAGCCCAATCTGCTACACTTCAGTATATCTCATTCAGAGCAACGATCAAAAGCCCACTGATTAAAAAACAGCTAGAATTCCACAACCAGTGTGATAGGATTCTAACTACAAAAAGTAAGTAGACCGGATTTTTAAAAAAAAAAAAAAACAGGTTTTAATGAACTCTCACCTTGTTTTTACCAACTTCTGCAATCCACTCTTTCACCAAGGTATTTAGCTTACAGAGAACATTTAACCTGCAATGGAGAAAGATGACTTAAGAGAAGCAGAGCTAAAAATTCAACTCGCAATTACCATGGAGTCAGCAGCTGGAATTCACAGTGCCTTGAACATAAGTATCACAACCTTTGTAATGAGGTGTCTATGTTTATAAGCACATGCTTACTTTTACCTGCAATTCAGCTCTTCCTCATCTTCAAATACACCAAAAGGCTTCATGGCGTCTATCAGCTTCTGTGTGTGCATGTAATCTATTTCTCTTGGAGGTTCCAAGCTAATTGGAGAGGTGATCCCGTAGTGTCTTTGCGGATGTTTCACCAAGTAATGTCTACACAGGAGAGTCAAATTAAACATGGGCAAGATTTTGCTTCACTGCTCCTTAGCTACAGATCAAGAAAGCCATTTACCCACTTAAAATCCATATTTACTGTCATACAAGCTATTAATGGGGTTAGCTTTGTATCTGAAGTACCACTTTATCGGAAAAAACTGACTTTATAAAGGACTTTTCTATTGTAATAAAGGCTAAGTTTTTTAGTAGTATCAATCCAGGCATCTGTTGTTCCTTTACACATTTGAGTTAAAAGCCATTTCTTCCACGGAAATAGCAAACATTTTACCTATATGGACAGCTGCTGTTTTAGAAGTACCACACTTTTTAACAATATTCCAAGAATCAGGCTTCAGATCTGGTAGGCCTATATGGAAATCTTTGCCTGACTATTTTTTGGTGGGTTTGAAGGCTATTATTTTGATGCATGAGTCCGCCTGTGCATCCCTTTATTGAATGAGCAATCATCTCCAAATGGATTTTTTGTGGGGGAGGGGTAGCAGTCTCTCAACAGATCAGACTACTTGCTCATCTAGCACAGTATTGTCTCTTCTGACAACGGCAGTTCTCAAGCAGAGAATGTTTTTCCCATTATCCCCCACAGTGCCAAGGACTGAACCTGAAAAATTCTGCAAGTGATGAAGCTGGTTTACTGCTAGGCTATCGTCCCTTTAAAGCAAGATGCTAGCCATGACATGGGGCTGAAAGCAAGAGCTAACACAAATAGCATCCAGAGCAAATCCACAGGTCCCTTCTGCAGAAAAGGATGCACATGCAAACCCAGAAGGCATTACCAAGTAGCCATGCTGGAGACAGTGCAGCTGTTCTTCTCATAACCTCTTCTCACTTCCTTACACACACATCCCATTTGTAACAGGGAAAACTTTGGAGGGGAAAAACATTGTAATTTCTCCCCTTTGCTGTGATTTTGTTTCCATATTATTAACAGCTTCCTCCTAGCCTGCTCACCAAAGACTAGCCATATACCCACAAATAGGGGCTTCCAACATTAACATGGAATGGAGTGAATGTTGGATTAGTAGGAAAGGAACGCCATACTGGCTCACACCACAGGCGTACCCAGTGCAGCGTTCTGCACTTACAGCGGCCAATCTGGTGCATATGCGAAGCCCACACGAAGGGCACAAGTGCAATGACACCTTTCCACTTGTGCTCCGAGCGACATATATTCAGAAGCATACTGGCTCCGAAATAAGAGAGCCGCAGCCATGTTAAGTCTGTTGCAGCAAACCCAACAAAGCAACTTGCAAATCTTCAGGACTAGCAAGTTAATTTTGGCATACACAACCACGAATAATGCTTACATCATGAGCTTATGGCAAAATAAATGTGCTAGCCTTTAAGATGCCATAAAAGATGCCCACCGAGACCCTCAGATCACCATCTGAGGTCCTTCTGAAGGAAATGAAGGGGGGGGGGGGCTATGAGAAGGGCCTTTCCAGTGTTGGCACCCCAACCCCCCAAAGAGGTATCCATGGTATCTTCTCTCTATTCCTCTCGGCACTAGGTGAAGACCTTTTTAGTTGCTCAGTATTTTTAACTTTTAGATAACTTTTAAAATGGCATTTATTGTATTTTAGTGCTACTGTGCCCTTAGCTTAATTTGAATCGTGGATGATGTGGGGTTTTCTTGTGTTTTCATGTTGTTACTTTATTGCCGACATTTATGCTAGATATATTGTTTTATTGTGTAATTGTTGTTTTATATTTCTGTAAACTATTCAGAGTCATACTGGCTAGTGGGCAGGATAGAAATTTAATAAATAACTACATAAAACACGCTGGTTTTGCTTCAGGGAGTTTTTTAAATTACTTGTTGGGGTAAGAAGGTACATACGATGCTTTGAGGTAGATACTCCTAACAAGCCAAATCAAAATGTATAGTGCAGCCATTCAGTCTTAATGGTTTTTTGTGGAAAGAAAAAGAACATGGAACAAGTGAGAGAACACAGAAGGTTTCCAATAGGAAACGTAGAAATCCCTCTGCCCACAGAAAATGTCCGTGATTGCTCAATAAAAGGCTTATCCTGAAGCCTGTAGAATCACACTCCATTGCAGACAGCAAGCCTAAGGAGGATGGGCCCTGATGGAGGCATCCAAGGGTCCTTCTAGTCCACTGCTGTGTTCACACGGCAGCCAATCAGCTGTTCAAGGGACACCCACAAGGAGCATAACAGTACCCTCCTGCCCATGTTCCACAGCAACTGGTATACATGGGCATATCACCTCCGGCACTGGAGATAGTGTAGTTCCATTAGGACCAGTTATCATCATAGCCTTCTCCTCCATGAATTTCCCCAACGTATTCTCCTTAACACATCCTTGGGAACAACCAACTCAATCCAAAAACCCAACTGCGAAGTACCTTAAAAGATTAAAAAATGTATTCCAGTAAAAGCATTTGGGTGCTGGTTATCACCTACAAAGCCCTGAACGGCTTGGGTCCTGGTTACCTAAAGGAGCGCTTGCGTCCATATATGCCCTCCTGCCCCTTGAGATCGGCAGCAGAGGCCCTTCTCCGGGAACCCTCCATGAAGAACATTAGGAGGGTGAGTACCCGGAGGAGGGCCTTCTCTGCGGTGGCGCCCAATCTATGGAACGCATTCCCCAGAGAGATCTGCCTGGCGCTGTCGTTATTTGCTTTTCGGCGCCAGGCCAATAACTTTTTATTCAAATGTTATTTTAATTGTTAATGTTATTTATTGATTTTAAATTGCCAGGATGTCTCCACTATTTTATGTATTTATATGTTGGCGTTTGTTTATGATTGGAAGCTGCCCCGAGGCTTATGCAAAGGGGGCGGCATACAAGTTGTTTAAACAAATAAATAGAGATCGCTACATCAGACATACAAAATGTTACCAATACTGGGAAGGGTGTGTGTATGCTTGTGTGTGGGTGTTACATACACACACACACGTTTGTGCACATTCTCAAAGCAAAAAAGATGCATGGAATGAGAGAAGTGAAATGGGAAGTACCTGTTTTCCCTTTATGTGCAGATCTCTGCAAATTGAGGACTACACTTTTCACATCTAACTAACAGGCCTAGCTTATGCCCACCTTCGTCAAGCTGGTGCCCTCCAGACGCGTCATTTTGCAATGCCCAACATTCCAAAACAGGAGCTGAAGTCCAACACGTCCGGAGGGCACCCGGTTGGGGAAGCCTGGCAGGCCACAAAGCGTGGCTTCACTCTTTAAAGGCACAATCCTGTGCCTGTTTAGGCAAAAAGGGAGGTCCACCGACTCCCAAGCCACCTGCCAGCCGGCCCACCATGCTAGCTGGGGCGTGCTGGGAGCGCAGCCCAGGTTGCCGCATCTCCACAGGCCCAAGATTGCCCCTTAGAGACACAGAGCGAGTCCCTGGGGGCCAAGCCGACGGGCTCCGGCGGCATCCTCAGCCGGGAGAGCAACACCCCGACCTCCGCACTTCCCAGCATCCCCGCAGCCAGCCGCACCGGCTGGGGCGTGCTGCGCGGACGGAGGGGGTCTCCCGCCGCCACGCAGGGCCCGGCTCGCACCGTCCAGCGCCCCAGCCGCGCAGCTGATCTGACAGCAAGGCGCTCCCCCCGTGGCCCCCACGGGGCCAGAGCGAGGGGGGCGGAGGGAGGGGGCGGGCCGCTCGCCTCCTCCTCCCTCGCCCCGGCCCGGCCCCGCCGGCCAGCCTCGCTCTGCCGCCGGCCCACCCCTTACCCGCACGTCTCCTTCATGCCCAGCGCCAGCATGAGCTCCGCACACCGCCGCCAGCGCCCGCAGCACCAGCAGTCCAGCCCCGCCTCCTCCCGCCCCGCCTATATAGCAGCGCCGCCGCCCCGCGCCAGCGCCCCCTTTCGGCCCAGCGGGGCGTGAGCGAGCGAGCGGGCGGCGCTCTTGGCCCAGCGTTCCCCGCCCCCCCCCGCGCGCGCACTCGACGGGGATCGTCCAGGCGCGGCGGCGCGGCTCTTCCCAGAAGGCTTTGCGCGGGCAGCGGAGTCTGCTATGGCGGCGTTTCCCGCTTTTTTACCTCAGGGGTGCTCGTTTTTAATGCGAAGCGCAGGAAAACAAGAAGCGGGGAAATGAGAGGGATTCGTTTCATGCGAAGTAGAGGAAGTGGAGCAGATAATCTCGAGAGTCGTTTACTGTATGCGAAGTAGAAAAGCTGAAGAGGATAATCGCGTTTTGTTTTGCGTGGCGGATACGATAGCGAGAAAAAGGAATAGTATATGCGAAGGAAGGAAAGGAAAAATAGTCTTTTGAGCGCAGAGAGTAAGAAGTGAAAGTAATATTTTGTGGTATGCGAAGCATATAAAATGAAGAAAAACATGTTCTGTGCGAAGTATACAAAATGAGGAAATAATTTGCTTCACAAGAGGTACAAGAAATGAGGATTAGAATAATTTGTGAGAAGTATCCAAGAAAAAACTGGGATGTTATGCAAAATATAAGAAAACAAGATAATATTTTGTGTGATGCCAAGTATGGAAGATCAAGAAGAAAACAGTATTTATTTTATAATAAGTACAAGTACATTCTGTTTGTGGCCTTAGGGAAGAAAATCCATGCAAAATGCACAAAATAATAATTTGCTCCATTCTGTCTATAAGAAAGGAACATATTTTGCTTTATTCCAAGTATAACTCATTTTATGAGAACAAGACATGATTTAGAGAAAAATGGCTCATTTTGTCTGAGCCGAATGAAATCAAGGATGCAGGCTTATCCCATCCTTGGCAGAGACTAGCAGCCATAAGAAAAGTCAGCATCCCATCTCTGACCTGAGAAACAGGCTCTAGGTCAGCTGGGCCTCCGTGCTGGAAGTCCCTCCACCTGCTCAGCTGCCACTGCACTGCCAAGGTTGGGAGACCAGCTCTGGTGCAGCTGCTGCTCCAGCACCAGAAAAGTGACTTGGGCACGGGCTGCGTGTGATTCTGAGGTTGGAAGACTGACCTCGGTGGTGGCTGCAGCTCTGAGATTGAACCCCCTTCCCCAAAGGCATG